CAGTAGAGCAACTACAATCTGAGGAAGTACCATATGTGACCTCCTATTACATCAAAGCCCGAAGACTCAAGCAGCTCGACAAGGACCACCTCGCAAGCTGAGGACTATCCAGTTGTTATGTAGTTCCTACCTTACAGCTAAGTTCTCGTTCGCTTCACTCATTTTTCAATGAGGAATTCAGAAGTAATCACAACTTGGCTTGGCTATGCTTACAACAACTGATCACTTATGCACTTCAAAAGAAAACTACGCCCTTCTTAGGGATTTATCACAGGAATTGTGCCCCTTGAGGGACTAACTATACTCTCTAGTGCTAGAGGGTAAACCAATTCCCTGACACCCATATGGGTCAGCTCTCCAAGACGGAAGGATAAACTCTACACTTCGAATATCCAGACGTGGATGAGCCTGGCTACCCTAGTATAACTAGATGCACAATGGCTTGCGCTAGGATTCCTAGAAGTAGCCACAATGGTCTTTTTCAAGGCTTAGCTAACTGAAAGATTTTGGGTCTCTTGGCCTAATCTATGGGGAACCGGGCCCTAGAGACGAAGAGGGCACATTACGCAATACATCCGATGGACGGCTGCCCTGGAACCTTAAAGCTGCTATCGAGTGCACTAAGGTAGGCTACGGTTTCTAGAAGACTGCCTATGGCTTACCCTTCAAGCAGTAAAGCCACGCTAGACTTACACTAACGCACATTCTTGTGAAAGGTTAAACAAGCTAGTGTGTATATACGAAGCTTTATCCACTGCCGATATGTTACCTGGTCGATAAGCTTCACCTCTGTCAAGCGCAGAACAACTTACACCAAGTCCTAAAGTGTTATGATACTTGCTACGTAGCCTACGAAATTAGAGAAAGCTAAGGTTAACAGCCTAGTGGTTACGCGGACTTGTCTACTTCTGTAAGTAAGGCATCTGGCTGCCAACCCTATGGCCTACTTTGCAAAGTTCTACACCAACACCGACGGCTGCATAGGTTACGTGGGCCTGTCTGCTTATAGAAAAGTAGCACGTCTGCCACTGGTTTATAAAGTTTAAAAGTTAAGGCATGAATAAAAGAAGCGAAGATAAAGAAAAGCGAAGGAAACATGTTTATAAACAACTAGCAAAGGCCGAAGGAGTTTAAGAAAAACAACAGTTACAAGGAAAAACAAAGAAGATCTTAAAGGCTACCTAAAAGACTACACTTCAACAGGTTAGACATCCCACAACTACTCGGTCGCCACACTTTCCGCAGTCGTGACGCTCTTAGCAGCGGCATCATCCGGCGCTTTCACCCCTAGCTGCCCTAGCTAGGCACCAACTTCTTCAACTACTTCACCATTGGAAGCCTCAAAAGTAAAAGTAAGCGAGTCTTCCGAAGAAATAGAGAAGGTTTCGAAACCTCGAGCCTATCCTTCTTACCCTTCAGTTGCTCATTCTCCTCGAGCAAACCAACATGGATGCACTGCAGCTCATCCACTTCCTTCTTCAGACTTTCGTTGATCTTTAGTACACCTTGAAGTTCCAACACTTGGGGTTCAAGCCTATTGACAATTCTTTTGAAGTGGATCACTTGATTATAAACAGCAATTAACTCTACATCCTTTGCATAAACATCGAAATGAAACTCAGAAACTGCAAACTCAAGATCTTGAATTTGAGGTATGTAACATCCAATCTCTTTCTTTGCACTTTCATACCGAACTTGGATTGCATCAAGCCTAGTCTTCAAGCCAACAATCTCTTGGCGAGCGGTCTCAAGCTACAGAGAAGTGGGGGCAGAAGTATTAAGACCACTTTAAAGACGAGCTCAAAATCTAACCTCTTGATCTCCTCAGCTAAGGAATAAGCTTCAGCTGCCATAGTCTTCACCACCTCCTTGGCAACCTTGCTATATATGCTTCATAGCAAGCAGAGCAGTCCTTCTAAATTGGGTCGTATACTTCACAAAGGAACTTGGACAAACAAACCTTTCTAACGCCATCAACAAACTTGGCATAAGTGTTCATGTCTTCAAGCAGATTTGGTTTCAAGAGCACACAGATCTCAGCAGCCTCCCCAAAAGCAGGCTTAGTGGATTTCTCACAGCTGCCCGCGCGAGCAGTCTCCTCTTTCCCAGCAGGCGAATCAGTCTCAGCAGCAGAGGGAGTGGGCCTTAGTGCCACTTTAGCAACAAAGTCCACCTTATCGCTCTTCATAATAGCAAGCATTTCTGAAGGAGAACTGGACATAGCTCTCGACAGGCAAGATGTAGAAGATTGCTAGATGAGGGGGAACAAATATCCTCTAAGCTCTTTCTCTCTACTTGTAGGATAGAATAAATCGCTCTCCAAATATCCTTTAAGCTCTTAATAACCGATTAAGGTGAACTTAAATAGGCTTTGAGAGAAATTTATTTCCCTTTCCTAGAAGGAAGCAATTCAAAGTTTCCTAAAAGCAAGAAAATCTCTGCACCTGTTACCCTTTTCTACGAGCAGCCCAACAAGTGTGGGAGCATTTGTGGAGCCAAAAATAATCAAGAGGCAGCACGTGGATTTTTAGGTGAAGGAGGACAAAATTACCCTCGAGACACACCGGGTTTCCTACACGCAAGCAGTGGAGAATCATCGATCAACCGAGTCAAGAGTACCCAAAATAGGTAACAAGTTCAAATTTATCTCATCCATCTTTACTCCATATCCTCTACAAGGAAATCATTCCATAACCTTCAAAACCTTCCATATAAATCAAATTAATTAGGCTAATTAATGGATTAATTCCTAATTAATCCATTAATCACCCAATTAATCACCCATCACACACCAAAAATACCCCAAAGGGCTGGCCACCTTTTCTCCAAAGGGGACCGGCCATGCTCTATATATTGAACCCCATTTTTCTCTAAAAACCTAGTTCCACACTCTTGCAAAACTCCCAAAAACTCTTCAAACACTTTTCTCTCTAAATTCTAACTTTGGCATTGGAGGTTCTTCGGCCAAAGCCCCCCCATTCATCATGGGCGCGTGAGGCTCTTGGCTTTGACTTAAGGTATTATTTGTTTTATAGGTGCAATTTTGTCAAAGAATAAGAAGGAAGAAATTTGCATCCACATAACTCACATTGCATGTGATACACATTAGATGGTAAATTGGTAATTTTTCATAAAGAAATAGTCTATGGAGTTAATTTTGGAGAGTAAATTAGATGTTAAATTTACAACCTATATGAAATGTTAAGGGCTTATAGGCAAGAAAATGACGGCATTACTCTTTAAAGTATGTCAAGTGATTTAAGTTGACGAAAAATTGGATAAAATAACTTTAAATACAATAGTATGAGTGAAATTAGCAATTTTTAATGAATTTAAGGGCTTATTTTACCCAAAAAACAATTCAGGGATCAAATTTTCACTTAGATTATAGTTCATAGACTAAATCGGCACTTTACCATTTTCATTATCTATACTAACATATGGGCACACACAAAGTGTGTGGGAAATTTTTTATTTTTGTTTTTGAAATAGAAGGAGAGGAAGAGAGTGTGAGAATGTGGGAGTGAGAAGTTTTTTTTATTACTTATTTATTTTTATTTTAATTAGAGATATTACATGTAAGTGAAGCTTTGAAAAAAAAAACAGTAAAATTTGGTTGTGTGAAATTACATTTCTGCCCCATATTTCTTATTCATGTTCTGTTTTAATTAGAGGGTTAAATTGGTAATTTCATAGGATTTTGGTTGAAAATAACTGTTTTATTAATTAGTAGACTAGCATATGGGCACACACAAAGTGTGTGAGAAAGTTTTTTATTTTTGTTCTTGAAATCGAAGGTGAGAGGAAGTGAGTGATAGAGAATGTGGGAGTAGGAAGTTTTATTTTTTATTTTTATAATTAGAGATATGTTAGGATTACATGTAGGTGAGACTTTGAAGAAAAAAACACAACAAAATTTGGTTGTATGAAATTACATTTCTGCTGCATATCTCTTATTCATGTTTTGTTTTAATTAGAGGGTTAAATTGGTAATTTCATAAGTGAAGCTTTCAGATATGCCAAAAATGTCCCTTGTTTTTTCACAATCAAAACCCAAAAAATTCAAAAAAAGGACAAACTCATAAAAAAATATTAACAAAAAAAAAAAAAAGGTTGGAAAACAAAATAAACTAATAAAGAAAAAGAAAATAAGGAGGCGTGGTGAATTCCTAGTTTGCTACTGAGGTGATTCTGAAAAAAATGACTATAAAAAAAAATCTGAGAGCTTTTTATGTTTGATAAACATTCAACTTCAGCTTTTTTTTACAGTTTTGGATGAAAAAAAAGGCCAAAAACACAAAGTTACAAAACCCAGCTTTGAAAAACCAGTTTTTTTTCACATATGTTTTATATAAAATTTTATCAAACACTATAATATTGGTTTTTTTTTTTTTTTTTCAAAAGCATTTTTACAAAAAGGTTTACCAAACACTCTGTTGCTTTATTTCACAGCTGCTTATTCTCACAGCACAATAGAAGCAATTTTTTTTTCCAAATTACAACAATACTAAATCAGCCCGAAATTATGCAGACTTGCAGTTACAAAACTTAAGGAAAATTAAAAAAATTAGTCTCTTTACACGTACTCACGTAATACCCATATTAAAACAAGCATTATGCGCATTAACGCGTGCCGAAAGACTGTAACATAAAAAGTAGCGGCTTCTCAATACTTCCATCTGACGTTCGTGACCGTCCAAAACCGTGACGAGCCATTTGCGAAACGCAAAAGCAAAAGATGAAACGAACCAATAGCCAATTAGCCATCCACATCAGTCCGGGTCCCACCCACGTTCCAATTCAATTCGACGAACTATTTAACCCTTATGATTTAACGGGACCGTCACAAAGCCGTCACGGCCCCATCCTACAACTCATCACGGCTCAGCCGTTCCGTTAAGCAACCTTGTGTTTCTCCCTCACTCTGCCCCAACGTCCCACCCCGCCTTCTCTAACGTCGTCGTTCCGCCAACCCCTCTAACCCTAACGTCGCTCCTCTAATGGCCTCCTGTGACGACGACTTCTCTCTCCTCGGTGACGACTCTAACCCTAACCATCACCTCCCTCACGCGCCAACCTCCCACCACATCCACCAGCCCTACGAGCCTCCTCACCGCTTCCCGACGCGAACTCCCCCAGTGCACGCGCCACCATCGCAGCCTACACTGAAGGATAAGGTCAACGAGGGAGAAGACCATGCCGACGACGGAGATGACTACGAAAATGCAGCCGCTGCCGCGTTCTGCTCGAATCCCTTCGATAGAGGCACCGATCAGACCGACATCGTCACCGGCGCGGGCGAGAAGAGAAAGGACCACTCCGATGAGCACAGAGACGGCGGCGGCGGGGGAGGAGCTCCGTACAGTTACAAGAAATCGAAAGCCTTGGCGTCTGCGAGCGGAGATTACAGGAAGGACCGAGAGGAGTGGAGCGACACGGCGATATTGTGCCTTCTGGACGCCTACCTGGACAAGCTCACGCAGCTGAATCGGGGAAATCTGAGAGGCAGAGATTGGGAGGAGGTGGCGGCGATCGTGAGCGAGAAGTGTGAGAGGCAGAGAAAGAGCATCGAGCAGTGCAAGAACAAGGTCGATAACTTGAAGAAGAGGTACAAGCTTGAGAGGCACAGGATGAGCAGCGGCGGCGTTTCGGCGAGTCACTGGCCTTGGTTCCAGAAGATGGAGCTGATCGTCGGCAATTCAGTGGCGGCAAAGGCCACCTCCGATGACGATAAAGGTGTTTCTTCTTCGGGTAACACACCACGGCAATCGAAGAGGTTTGGATTCATTTGCTGCATTTTTGTTAGATTATTGCTGCAATTGGTTGCTCAATTGCTAGTGTTGTGTTGTTTTTGAGCAGATATGGAATGGTGGTGTCGAGTCCTGTAGGTCAGATGAACAAGGTGAAATCAGCTCCGACTATCAAATGGCGGAGAGTGGTCTTCAAAATCAGTGGTGCTGCTCTTGCTGGTGCTGCTCCAAACAATGTCGACTCAAAGGTTCGGCCATCTATGCAAATCCATTGATTTATATCATTCAATTTCTGATCATCTTAGCCTGTGAATAGTATTTGTCTGAATGTGTTTGCTTCTTGCGAGCAAGTTTCATTGCGTGTTTTGTGGTTGGGCAGCTGGCAATGCTGATTGCGAGGGAGGTTGCGTTGGCTTGTCGCAATGGCGTGGAGGTATGCATTGATATTTATATGGTCGTCTGTTGACTGTAGTAATGTGTTTTTAGCTGTCGGTTTTAGTTTAATCTGCAATGTTTGGTTTTGTTTCTTGCTGGGTGTAAAAGTTGGCAATTGTTGTTGGAGGTCGCAACTTCTTTTGTGGAGATGCATGGGTGACGGCGACAGGGTTAGATAGAAGTACTGCGTACCAGATTGGGTAAATATCATTGCTGATCTTGCTATATAACCTCATCTTTGCATTCCTGAATCATACCGCCTTTTACATAGGATTTGTGGTATCTGCAACAGCTTAAATAGAACTACCAGATACAACTACAAACTGGGTAAATATGCCTTGAATACTGACGTGATCATTGCATTTCCGGTGGAAGCATGTCCAACATAGATTGGCCCTCATCTTATGTTTATTATATTCTGATATTTTTTTTTTGTTTGTCGGCCTTGTTCGGGGCTGTAAACTAGATGTACAAAATAGCGATCCTTTGAAACAGTACTAAATTTCCTGAAATTGTTTGATGGGATCTGCTTCCTCGTTTTCTTGTTCATAAAGGACTAGAATAAATCTTTTGATCCATAAGATAAGAGCAACTGAAAATGCAATATCAAATGACCATTTCTTTGTTTTAGTTTAGAGCCCAATTCATTGTTATAATGAATAAGATGAGTGACCTCTTAGTGAAGACCCATTAATCTCAACTGTATTATGTGAACGGTGAAGCTTGGGCCTCTCTGCTCTATCTCCACTTTCTGATAGTTTTGTTAATTATAAATTGCTGGCTAATCCGATAATGTATTTACAATACTCATACGAGGTGACTGTGATGTTTACCAGAATGATGGCCACTGTAATGAATTCCGTATTGCTCCAGTCAGCATTGGAGAAGATGGGAGTCCAGACACGTGTTCAAACTGCATTTTCAATGCATGAGGTTGCTGAACCATACAACAGGCAGCGGGCCATCCGGCATCTTGAAAAAGGCAGAGTTGTAATTTTTGCTGGGATTGGTGCTGGCACGGGAAATCCCATCTTTTCCACTGACACAGCTGCAGCATTACAAGCTTTGGAGAGTATGGTTATGGTTCTGTGATAATTCACACTTCTTAAACATTTTACATTCTGTGAAATCACCCAGAACTGTTCTATTTTTGCTCACACACACACACAATACATGCATGGTCTCCACCTGCACCTTTTGGACTTTATACAAAATTTTGTGACACTCGTAAGTTCTCAGTTAATGCAGAGGCAGTACTCAAGGGTACCAATGTAGATGGTGTCTATGACTGCAACTCTCAAGACAACAATTTTACATTTGAGCACATCTCTTTTAGGGAGTTGGTCACAAGAGGCGCCACCTCCATGGACTCGATGGCCCTGAACTTCTGCGAAGAACACAGGTTTCCTGGTAAGTGTATTTTGGTGTTCTTGCATTTCTGTTAGGTTGTGAACAATAGTCGGGAAATTGAGTCATTATATTTTGGTCAACATGTAACAAAACTTGTTCTCGGAATCTGTCTCATCAAATGAATTGGATGGTGCCTTCTATTCTGTACATGGGATTGAACTTTAATAGTAATCAATTTGCATTTTTATGTGCAGTTGTGGTCTTTAATCTGTTAGAGCCTGGAAATATATCGAAAGCGCTATGCGGAGAACAAGTTGGTACCCTGATAGATCAAACTGGAAGGATTAGCTAATATTTACAGAACTCTGAGCTGTTGTATTATTAGGTCTACTTACCTCAGATAACTGTCAAGTTAATTTCAACAGACCCCATTTAGAAAAATCGGTGGCTTTTACAGCTCTGATGGCTGAGACTTGGCTGCATATCCACGCATATATCATTTGCCACCCTGATTCATGAGAAGGTAGAGTAAAGATTATAACTGTTGAGTCTAAGTTATGCATGTTAATGGCGGTGCCAGTGTCTTTTGTGTTGTTTTGTAAATGGTATCATTACTTGGACGAAGATTGTTGATGCAGACGACTATTAAGATTTTTACTGGTTAGTTTGTATTAATAGAGGTGTGAATAGAAAAATATGGTTTGGAGTCACGACAGACTGAGATTCTGTGTTCACTTTTAGAGTTAAAATTGAGTAATGCTAGTTAATGTGATCGATCATTCACGTTCCAAGGCACAGGTGCACGTCTACAGATCGAAAGCATTCCCGAGACCATAACTACACAAAAATAGGGGTTGAGAATAAGCAAAGTAGCAGCAGAGATTTGCAGCGAGATAATGCACATGAAAATCGAGGATGATGATGATGCAGAAACAAGGGAACGGTGTCGTCAATCAGACCAGCCCGTCTTCCGTGGTGGCGAGAGAAGGCGAAAGTGAATTGCGGGAATCATCGTAGTCTTCTCCGAGAGGAGATCTCTCGACTCGGATGTCCTCAATCATCTTAGTTACTTCAACCATTGTAGGCCTCTTTTCAGGCTGAGGCACCGCACAAGCCAATCCCACATGGAGCATTGCCACAAGCTCCTCCTCAATGTTCTTGTACCTCAGAAGTTCTTGATCAAACACCTCCCCAGTCCACTCCTCCTTCACCACTGACCTCACCCATTTCGGAAGGTCCACCGCCTCCTCCTCTTCCATACGGGGACGGGCGGGAGAAGGGTACTGGGACGGAGCTCGCCCCGTTAGAACCTCCAGCAGCAAGACTCCAAAGCTGTACACGTCCGCCATCTGAGATAGTCTCTTGACCTCCGCCTGCTCGGGAGCTCGGTATCCTCCCAATCTTGCGATGGCGTGAACCGGGTTGAGAAGCAGAGACAGGCCGAAGTCGGAAATGCAAGCAACGCCATTCTTGTCCAGAAGGACGTTGGAAGATTTGACATTGCCATGGGGTACTTTTGCGGAGCTGAACACCTCATGAATCCTGGCAAGCCCACGAGCCGCACCCAACACCAAGCTGATCCTTGTAGTCCAATCCAATGGAATTCTACCCGGACCCCGATTCCCTAAATTACATCCAAAAAAATAAAATCATCAACAATCAAACATAGACGCCCTTTTTTTATGACGTCATGTGTATGAAATAATGACATGTGGATAAAAATTTACACACGTCTTTATTTCATTTGACATAGAATGCCATCATGATGACGTATTCGTCTTATGTAAGTCATTCTCAAGAGGAATTTGTGCAGTGGTCGAGAATCAATATTTAGGGATGTAAAGAGGATTTAGTGTGTTTAAATAAAATAAATAAATATGCACAAATAAAACTGGTTGTGAACTTCTAGTAAGACATTAAACTACGGAATATTAAACAAACAATAAGTTATATATACACATACCACGATTTAGTACTCATTTTATTTTCTGTTTAGTTGGCATCAAGTTCTACTATTAGTTGAAAGTTTATGAACGGTTTTAAAGTCTGCAAATTATATTCAAAATAGTTTGAGGAATTTGACAATATGATCACTTTTAAAGAAAAATTAGGTTCTTCTCCCTAACTTTTTTATGTTATTGATTGTTCTTTTTCAATTTTTGATCAAAGTTATTTGGGTTTTCCACGTCATTATTTCAATGATAAATATTTACATGTAACATTTTAAAATTATATAATTAAAAATTATTTAACCTTTTTCATTATATCTATTTAGTGTTTAAAACGTTATATTTAGTATATTTAATTATTTTGTACCGATTTTTTCATTTGTAACCATCTTGTTAAATTTGTAACTATATTTGTTAGTCTATACCAATTTCCTTTTTAACTTTTATTTGTATCCATAATTTTTTTAATCTTTTATTTGTACCCATTCATATATTCATAATGTACATTTTTCAAATGTACCACATTGCTATAGGTTAAATGTACCCTTTTTTTGTCTGTAAAATGTACGCCATTTTCTAGTGTAAAATCTGTTCACTTTTATTCTCTATAATGTACCTACGGTTTGTAATAAAATGTACTCTTTCTTAATTTACAATACATCCATATTTAAAAATAAGAACAAAACATTTTATTAAAATAAAAAATAAAAAATCTGATCAAAGTAGTCAAACTAATAAAGTTAGTTTTTTAACAAACGATATTATCTACACTAAGGGGGTGGAGAATGGGCTAAGCTTCATAATGAGCTAGCAACAATGTAGTTCAAATTCACCTTTGGCAAGAATCAAATCTAAAACATCTCAGTTATAAGTGAAAAGGAATACCACTAGTATAACTAAGTGGCAAGTTTCGTTAAATTTGAGAAAAAAAAAAATTAAAGTCCCTATTTTGTAATACTCTTTGCATTATTTTAAAGAGAAATTATTCATTTTACCATTAAATTTTTAATTAATACTGAAATTTAACATTTCGTCCTACAATCAAAGTAATCAAATTAATAAAGTTTCAGTCAAAGATTTTTGTCAACCAGGAACCAGAACCAAGGTTTCCCTTTTTTAAATTTCAATTAAGATTATCAGTTTTTAAGTATGATGTTAATATATGATCGCTATGTCATCAATCTAGGATCGTTATGTCGTGGTCGATATTTAATCTTGATTAGTTTATCAATTAATATTTGATTTATGAAAATTTTAGCAATTTCCGAAATAGTCTTTTTTCAGAATTTTGTACCAAATTAAGCCCTAAAAATGCAACAAAGTATTGAAAATATGAACAAAAGCAATAATAATATTACCATGCAGAAGTGAGTGCAAGCTTCCATTAGGGAGATAATCATAGACTAGAAGCTTCTCCTCCTTGGTATAGTAATAAGCACTCAGCCTCACCACATTGGGATGCTTCACCTTCCCAATCACATCCATGTACTGCTCAAACTCCTTTCTCTCGCACGGGTTCGCGTCCTTGAGCCGCTTCACCGCCATGGTGCTCCCGTCGTCCAGCACCGCCTTGTACACCGTCCCCAGGCTTCCTTTCCCCAACATCTCCGCCGACGCCCGCAGCAAATCCTCCAGCTCAAACTGCTTCCTCGGGTCAAAAAACACCAGTTTGCTTCTGTCGGTCGCGTTTGTCCCGTCGCTGTCCCCGCCGCCCCCACTGTTGGCGTACACCCTCTTCTGATCGGCTCCGTAGCTGCTCCCACTCCTTCTCTTCCCGCTCTCGCTCCCCACCATCGAGCTAGAGCCGCAGCGGTCTCTCGCGCAGTAGTGGGCCACAAGGAACGACACAACCACCAACATCGCCACGCAAATCACGATCACGATCGCGATGACCACGCCGGCGCTCAGCCCCTTCCTCGGTTGCTTTTTGTTCGGCTCGTTTGGGCTCGTCGTCTGAGGCAATTGGCTGGGATTAGACGGCACCGTTTCGGATGAAGCCGCCGAGGGCGGATCGCTAGTGCCGGTGAAAGAACAAGCCGGCAAGGGGCTCAGTCCGCACAGCCTTCGTTCCCGGAAAAGCTTTTGTCGCCGAACTTCTTCAACAGACCCTCCGGCAGCCGTCCGTACAATTCGTTGTTAGTGAAATTGAGCTCCTTGAGGTCGGCAAGGGAGGCGGAGAGGTCGGGGACTACACCGGAGATAGCGTTGTTCTGGAGCCTGAGCGTGAGAAGCCGGGTGAGGCGGGTGAGATTGTCCGGAAACGGTCCCCGGAGGTTGTTGTCGGCGAGGTCGAGACGGAGGAGTTGCCGGAGGGAGGATATCTCCGATGGAATTTCGCCAGAGAGGTCGTTGCCGGCGAGGTAGAGGAGCTTGAGCTTGGTGCAGTTGACGAGAGGAGAAACGGTGCCGTTGAGGCGGTTGTTGTGGAGGTCGAGGAGGCGGAGCTGGTCAAGGGAAGCGAGGGAATCAAGTGGGCCTCGGAGGTTGAGGGAGGGGAGGGAGAGAGCGACGACGCGGGCTTTGTTGGTGGAGCATCGGACTCCGGTCCAGCAGAGGGTGCATGCATCGAAGCCGGTCCAGTTTGAGCGGAGGTAGGCGTGGGTGTCGGTCTGTAGGCGGAATTGGGTGAGGGCCCAGGTGTCATTAGGTGGCGGAGAAGAGAGTGACGGGTGGCTGGAGGCGAAGAGAAGAAGAGAGAGAGTGAGGAAAGGCAGCGCCTCGTTCTTCTTCATGAGTTTTTGCTTAGGCGGGAAGAGTAGGCAGGCATACAATAAGAAGTTTGTTTTGTATTTTTGAAAAAAATAAAGTATGATAAAGACTTAAGAGAGTGAGATTGAGACCCTCCTCTTTCTATGACTTTTTTTTTTTTTGAACAACCATATTATCTACATTAAGGGAAAGGAGGTGAACTTAATCTCACCATAGGCTAGCAAACAAATTCGTTTTTTGCAATGATCAAACTTAAGACTTCTTATTTATAAGTGAAAAGAATACTACTAGAACATAATACTGAGTGACTCCTCAAATTTGAATAGAGACATGGAGATCTAGAGAGAGTAAGTGGGGTGGGGAAAAGATATGAACTTGTTTTCTTTTTTATTTTGTTACTTTGGTTATTTGATAATTGGGAGTGATATGATTAGGGAAAATGGGTTCTTTCTAGAGAGAGAGAGAGAGAGAGATGGGAATAGGAGTAGTATGATTAAAGAGGGGAAAGAGAGAAGGGGCGTGGTTGTACGAATGATTGCTGTTCTCCACTCCTTCCATATGGAATGAGTAAAGGGTTTTGAAAGCAGGGTGGCTTTTTCTTTTTCACTTTTTCTAGACTAAATAGACCAAAGTTGAATGAGGAGGACTCAAAAGCACCGCCATGGGTATGGCATGGCTCGGCAAATCAACCAAATTTATTAGGAGATAATATCTGACATTCATTTAGGTGAATATCAATTTGACAAGTATGGAGAATATTTCTACGTATCCTAAGTTATTTTTTGTACACAAAGAAGCAGGCAACACTCATTTACTACGTGCCACTTATAGATCATTTACTAATCCGTAATTAAATTGAGAGGAATTGAATTGAAGATGAATTGGATTGAGGAGGAATTGAAATGAGGTGGAATCAGAATCGGATTCTTGTTGAAGTTGTTTACTAAAACTGTTTGGAATCGGAGTAAGAATGATGTTGAGTCCATATAAGTTGTTTACTAATTCACTTCAATCGTAATGAAAACTCGGTTGATTACTATATTGCCCTTACA